AACCTGACGGGACAGTGAATGTGTAACTGAGCTAAGTATTGTTGGAGTCGAGCATGTGAGACGTACGTTGAGATATCGTTTGTTATAGCGCGACTATTGAAATTAAGTATATCGCAAAGTTATATTCAGAAAGAATAAACCAGTTTTATTTAAGAAAGGACTTGTGTCGCTAAAGTTTCGTCGGAACGAATTTACGGAAAATTAATTAACAAACGGAGACGTAACAATATGTTTACCAGACCATTAAAAGTTTCTGACATAATTTTTGTAATATTTGCTTTTAACTCGTGGAGAAATTATTATCAGCTTCAACCATGAAACTACCCCTCCCCCACAAAAAAAAAAGAGAAAAAGAAATCACGAAATAATAAAATTCACACTTGTAAGGCATCGTAATGGATAAACAAGGAGGAACAATGCACAAACAAGCCTAGCGTTGGTTAAGCCTTATTATACTTGTTAATGTACTCATGGCTCATTCTTTTTCAACTGTTCTTGTTTAGCTTAATTGAGAAGACACATAGTTGTTATTGTAAGATTATCCTAAAGGGCTTTAGTCTACGTGTGTGTGTGTGTGTGTATTGAAAGTGAAGATGCAACACGTACGATGTGTGGTTACCTATGGTAACCAGACTGCTCATTATTTTTAATTTCTCGCTCTAAAGCCGTATTTATAAGCGCTAGTGACCAACCTGATATCTTAATGCTGAGACTTAATTAATGTCACCTATTCTCATAAACATTTGCTATTAGACACGGTTTTCAACAGTGCTAAAAATAGCCACCAGCTGTAAGAGAAACAAAAACATTACTTTCAGCTTTTCTAGTTCTAACCAAGGTCTTGAACAGTGTTTTCTAGTTTTAAACAGTGTATTTAACAGTATTTTCTAGTTTTAAACAGTGTATTTAACAGTATTTTCTAGTTTTAAACAGTGTATTTAACAGTATTTTCTAGTTTTAAACAGTGTATTTAACAGTATTTTCTAGTTTTAAACAGTGTATTTAACAGTATTTTCTAGTTTTAAACAATGTCTTTAACAGTATTTTCTAGTTTTAAACAATGTCTTTAACAGTATTTTCTAGTTTTAAACAATGTCTTTAACAGTGTTTTCTAGTTTTAAACAGTGTCTTTAACAGTGTTTTCTAGTTTTAAACAGTGTCTTTAACAGTGTTTTCTAGTTTTAAACAGTGTCTTTAACAGTGTTTTCTAGTTTTAAACAGTGTCTTTAACAGTGTTTTCTAGTTTTAAACAGTGTCTAACAGTGTTTTCTAGTTTTAAACAGTGTCTTTAGCAGTGTTTTCTAGTTTTAAACAGTGTCTTTAGCAGTGTTTTCTAGTTTTAAACAGTGTCTTTAGCAGT